CTAATTATAGATATTAAAAGCCTTTTAAAAGTATTTAAGAAAGATTATCTCTTTTCTAAAATAGAATCTAACCTATTAAATAGATTTATAGCTATTATAAAAGTGGTAGTAAATTAAGCTAATTTAGCTCGCTTTATTTAAAGGATTTAGACTCTATTAATAGATTATTCGATTAAAAGATTAATCTATTAAAGATTTATATTAGAATATATATATAAAAAGATATTCTATTCTTTTATTTTTAAAAGATTAAAAGTTATATTAACCTCCATTAAAATATTAGCTTTAAATTAAACTTTAATAGTTCTTTAAAAGATTTATTTAGATATAATTAATTTTAAATAGAAGTAATAAAATAGATTTAAAAAAAATATATAAAATAATTTCTTTTTATTCTTTTTATTCGTTTAAAAGACTATTAATCTTTTAATAGTATTTAGATATAGATCTAGCTAGATTATCTAACTTTAGAGTTTTTATAGATTAGAGTTTTTTTTATATAGATATTTAGAGATATATATCTCTTTTAAAAATAATACGTTTTTTAGATTCTAGAAAGAATTATATATACTATTTTTTTAGATAGGTTTTTATAGATTTATATAAATCTATATTTATTTTATAGGTTATATATCCTCTATTAATAGACCCGCTCTATATTTCGGAGGGAAGATATTATCTTTATATATCTCTAGTCTCTCCTTTTTTTAGACTTCTTTATTCTAAGAGTATTAAAAGAGAGAGAGAGGAAAATAGTATATTCTATAAGTTTTCCTTATCTAGTATTTTAGGTCTATAGGATTATTATTAGAATAAGATAAAAAGGGATTAGTACTATACCTATCTTATAGAGATATAGGCGGTACTATCTTATACCTCCCTAGGCTAACTATAGAAAATAGCTTATACCGATATACTACTAGATAAGATTCGGAAAGGATCGTATGATTTTTATTAAGTCGGGGTCACTAATAACTAAGTACTAGATAGTATAGAAACGATAGTGTATATAAGTGTAGAAACGGCTCCACACGGAGCCGTCCGATGAGACATAAAACAAGTTTATATAAGAAAAGGGGCTTCTAGGATCACACTTATACTACTCTTTAGTAAGTCGATATTATACTAGCGGAAATAAATACTACTTCTATAGATTTAGAGATATAGAGGCGGGAACAAGCGACTATAGGAAGTAATTAATTAAAGATATTAAGAGAGTTACTAGTAGACTGGGCTTATAACTATTAAACGCTAATACTAAGGAAAGATGATATAAATTAATATAAACTAACACTATAACTCTAGTAAGTGGTAGATTGAATAGTGAAATAAGTGTGTATTAGAAAGAGTAGCTAGGTGCTCGACTATTTAATATACTAGGAGCTTATAAAGCAGTACCAAGCTCAACAAGTGACTTCCTAAGGCCAACAAGTGATGCCTAAGGCGGCTACTGTCTTATATAGCGTAAATATATAAATGACAGGACGGGAAAGGTGTAATTCCGGCTGACATAAGCTCTTAATATGTTAAATAGTCGAGCACCTAGCTGCTCTCCCCTAATACACACTTATTTCACTATTCATTCTTCTACTTACTAGAGTCGTAGTGTTTAGTTCACCTCAGTTCGTATCATTTGTCTTCGTTCTCCACGTTCAACAATAGGCTAAGTACTAAGCTTATTAAAGATCTAGAAAATTGAAAATTAGTAAGCAAAAAGATATATTTAAAGAAGTATAGATATAAATACGCTTTTATCCTAGTAGCTCGACCTAGTTAAAGATTCTTTAAAGAAGTCTTAAACCTATAAAGAAGCTAGGAATAGGCTAAGAAATAGGAAACCAATTATTAGAGTATCGAATTTAGTACTCTCTACCATCTATATAAATAGGATAATTAAAAAAAGATAGGACACAAATTCTAAATAGATCGAACGGTAGCATATGAAGTATACTAAGGCTTTAAAATTTAAAGTATAGGCTCAAAAAGCCAGGGATTTAGCTAAAGAAGAACATAAAGCTACAATAGTAGCTAGAGGTAGCAGGGGTGCAAATTGGTATACAGATAGTCGTGGTGGTTATTTTGTAAATAGTGGTTTAAATGTATGGTATATCGAAAAATCAGTTATCGAGTGGGAATCGGTTATCGACTGGGGCCCACCAACACGGGGTGTTAGTGCTGGTGAGCTTGGTACGATTACTTACAATCTGCTATGCGGTACGGACTTACAAATGGAAATTAACGGGTGGAAATTGGTATATGAACATGGTGAAAATACAGGGCTTGGAACATTATAGACCTACCTCTGTACTAGACGTGCATCGATGGATTCATCTGGTGTTGAATCCTTCAATGGGAAATGCAAAGTCGAGACCTACCCGATGGATCGCGAGAGGCATGTGACCAATAATTTTAAGAGTTACACTCCCATGATTCCTTTGCTGACATGATCTCAAGAATCAGAGGCGTATTCAGCAAGGCCTTTTTCGCTGCTTCGTCACCTGCAGCTGCTTTACTCAAACCCTGACCCGAACCCAGAAACCTTTTGTCCCATCCCCACCCAGTGAGAAATAACGCGACGAAGAAAGTCTGTGTGCCACCCTTCTGCTGAATTGATGGACGCTCCTCAATGTATTCAAGCTTGACATTTTTCCCCATAATCTTCTTAGCAAGAGCTTCCTTGGAGCGTAACTCCCCTTTCTGATGTCCCAAGTTCTTTAGAATCGGCACCCATAAACCTGATAGCCAATGCTCTGCTAGCTCATAGCCAGAAACAGGATTGGATAGTATGACAGCCGCGACGTAGGCTTCGAATACGTCCCCCTTTGTTTTTGTCCATCGCTTTGACGGGGTATTGTAGTTTGGCGGCACAGAAACCCTGCGGTCCAAACCAAATCTTTCAGCGAAGCCCGAAAGCGTCTCATTCTTAACAAGGATCTCCCGAATCTGTGATATTCGACCTGCGGGTAAATCTGGAAATCTCTCCCAGACAAGTTTGGTTGCAATTAGCTCGATGTATGCATCGCCTAATATCTCAAGTCGGTCGTAGGTCGTGTTGTTATTGTTGCTAAGAGCTGGATGGGTAAAGACAGCAAGTTCCAGCTTGTCATCCATGATCGGGGGAAGCTTAGGGTCGCACGAACCACCGACCAAATTGAAATTGTCATCTGAGTGGTGTGATTTTGGGACCCCATCAGCTATGAAAGCATCTCTGGAAGACAACTGATTCTTCGTCGTGCGAAATGTGTCATCCAGCCTCGAAATGGCATCCACAATCTCCGAGTCAGCGCCAATGAGATCAGAACTGGTTGAGATTTCTCGAAACAAGGTGTTGTAGAATAAGCAGACGAGAATTGTTGCTTGACTTGGCCATGCTGCGACTGACGCCAATAGAGGATTTAGTATCCGATGGCCGACTTGATTTTTGAACCTTTTAGGAAGTAGTTAGCAAATTACTTGAATCAACAGGAATTCACTCAGTGGGATGAGAGCATGGTATTCACCTTGGGCCGCTTTTGTGAGTTTTGTGTGGCATCTGACCCAAAGGCGGATGATGATCTTTTCAGATCTACCACTGGCCTTTTTCTTGAGCCTGCTGAATCTGGTACCTTGTATTGAGACATGTCAATTGTTGTAGACCTTGTTCAGTCTTGAGTCCAGCTTTTGCTGTTTTTACCCTTTTTCCCTTTGAGGTAAGAACATGGATAATATGTAGGCGGTAGGTATACTTCGGATGGTCACATGACTGTCGGGCAAAGTTCAGTTGGGATCTCCCCGAGTTCGATGTCTACCAAGCTGCTGTGAACAGCTGCTTCAGGCATTTCTTTTTGCATATGATTCTTCTGACCCTTTAAGGAAGGAAAATGGCGCCCAGTCGGATCTTGGATCTAGTTAAGGTTCAACCACCCTTTTCATTGTGTGGTGCTGGCATTCACTAATTGGCAATTGAATTCTCTAGACCCAATGCCGCATATTCTCTCTTAATTTCAACCCGCAACGGCTTCGGCTTGGAAACAAGGTCTTGAGACAGCGCTTGCGTGGGCCAGCGCTTGCAGCCTGGTACCCAAAACAGACTGTGTCTTTTCAAGATTTACAAAACACTTATAAGCCTCTTGGATTGACGACATTTGATGAGGCTGAAGATGACAGAGAAGAAGCTATTCAGATGTAAGAATCGACACCCCATGTCACATACATTCTCACTAAACATCTGATTCATAGCGCCAAATTGCGAGGAAAGGGTCGGCCGAAGAAGAAAAGAACTGCTGCAGGTAATCTCCTCTATACCCGACGGTTTCATGCCAGGATCAAAATCTAATACTTCAACAGAATCGAGGTCCGCAAAGAAGAAGAAATAGATTGTCTGCCTAACATCCTAGGCATTTCTGGGATCAACATTGCACCACTCGGATCAACACCGGCCCATTCTATACCCGGATTATCTATCCATGATTTGGCTGGGCTAGTGAAACATTGCCCTGAAAAGCTGTTCAGATCTTTTTTTCTTCAGGTGCAAATTGCCTAAATATGTTGTTGTCTTCGTTGATAGTCTCACATCCGACACAGCTTGTTTTGTTTCATACTTTGTATAATACGTTTTCTTTTTCTTGGGGTTCTCATGCGAGCAGTTCATTGGAACAATACCGAAAATTCTACACCAAGAATTGGTCCAAACGTATATGTCAATGTACATTATATAGGTCGTGGCATGGGATTAGCAGTTTCCAAGGCTTCCAAGCCCTGGATGTATTATGCAGGTGACTGTACGGAGTAGAGTGGCAAAATATAGGCGGTAAGACATTGTATGTGGACGCACGTGATGGCAATTGAGATGCAATATATTCGGGTTTTTAACCTTGCCCGCCCACTTCATCGTCTTTCGCTACCTGATCTATCATTGTGCGTACTTGAACCAAGTTTTCGGTGCCATATTTCTTCCATTCCTTCGATATTTTCCAACTGGCACCGCGTTCATTGAGCAGCTGCCAGACCTTCCAGCAACCATGAAATTGAGCAAGAACCAGCTCAGAAGAGCCAAAAAAAAGGCCCAGAAAGCCGAGGTAAGACAGATTCTAAAGTCTCTCAGTATAGCCGATACAAAACTGACACTACTGTAAAGACTACGAGCTTTCCAGTCGACACTACCACATCACGGGAACGTTCACCTCCCCCAGTCGCTACTTCTCAGGATGCACCGGCTGATACCAACACTGATCTGCTTCCCGAGCCAACTGATCCGCTATGGGAAATGTACAAAGGTGTTGTCGGAAAATTCGACGAGACAGTGAGCGATTCATTGACGAAGGATACCGATAAACCCGAGGTCTTCTTTGACGATGGTGATGAAATACCCGACGAGGAGCAAGAGAGCGAGCCCAAGATTTCAAAAAAGAAACGAAAAGAAATGAACAAGCTATCCGTTGCTGAACTCAAAGCAATGGTACGAAAGCCTGAAATCGTTGAATGGACAGACACATCCGCTCCTGATCCTCGACTCCTTGTTCACATTAAAGCTCATCGCAATGTGGTCCCGGTACCCTCTCACTGGTCGCTCAAACGAGAGTATCTCTCATCCAAACGGGGAGTGGAGAAGCCCCCGTTTGCTCTCCCAAAGTTTATACAAGAGACAGGAATATCTGAAATGCGCGACGCCGCTTTGGAGAAGCAGGAACAGTCAAGTTTGAAGCAGAAGCAACGAGAAAGAGTGCAGCCAAAGATGGGAAAGCTGGACATTGATTATCAAAAGCTTTACGAGGCATTTTTCCGCTTCCAAACCAAGCCAGAGTTGACTCGCTACGGTGAGATCTACTATGAGGGCAAAGAATACGAGACCAATCTGAAGCACCTGCGACCTGGCGAACTGAGCGATGAGTTAAGAGACGCTCTTGGTATGGCCCCAGGAGCCCCTCCTCCGTGGCTTGTCAACCAGCAGCGATATGGTCCCCCTTCTTCCTACCCCGCGTTGAAAGTTCCCGGCCTCAATGCGCCACCGCCCCCCCGGCGCGTCGTGGGGCTACCATCCTGGAAGGTATGGAAAACCACCTGTCGATGAACACAACCGCCCATTATTCGGAGGTGATATCTTCGGCGTTTTACAACCTCAACAACATGCGCAGCAAGGAGTTCCGATTGAAAAAGATCTTTGGGGTGAATTACATGAATCAGAAGAGTCAGAAGAGGAGAGTGAAGCAGAGGACGAGGACGAGGACGAGGACGAAGAAGAAAGCGACGAAGATGGGGTGGGTGCAGGTGCTCATTCTCCTAGTGGCATGGAAACTCCAAGTGGAATAGATTCGGCAGTACCATCTGAATTTGTTGGCGCTGAGAATGTTTCTGGGGAGTTCGATGTGCGCAAACACCATCGTGGTACCGATACAGAGGAATCCGTTCACCCTCGCAGTGCTTATCAAGTCATCCCTGAGAGGCAAATGAACGTGGAAGGCTTTTTCGGGGGTGATAGGGCCTACGACCTTAGCGGATCAACAGGCAAACCTCCTGTTCTCGGCGCAGAGGACCAAAACCGGAAACGCAAGAAGCCTGGGGATGTTGAAGTGTCTGTCAACTTGGATGCAATTCAATCTGGCGATGGCCTCAGCAAAGAGAGCCTCCAGAGCATGTACGAGTCACAGAGGCAGCAGCAGAATCCATCAAACTGGGCTTTCCAGGAGGACTTGAGCGACATGCTTGCACAGGAGAACCGCAAAAGATTGCGAAAGGAAGAGGAGAGACGAAGAAAGCATTAAAGATGCTTCTTTCAGTGTACTTTTTATTTTATTTCTCTCGAGTTCTCGAGGCGTGCTTCTTTCATGGTGAGCATTGGAGTTTGGCTGCTTTGGTGTACACTCTATTCAAAAAAAGCTCTCTGGCCTGTAATGTACGGTTAGTTTTGAATCAAAGTTCGTAATGAATAATCTATGAAATTCCAAGTGGTGTGTCTGTAGATTGTCTGTGGGAATCTTCCCAGTCAGCATAGCATCTTGCCCAGGTGATATACCTCCATACATCGAGGCCCACAGTCACGGGGATGGGTTCCCCGAAAGGGTTTAGCTCAGTCCTCTCTACCGCATTTCGACCCTTCAATTTCCTTGTACTTCGATTTACTTTCGCCTTCTCTCCCTAGGAGACGGAGAAGTAGCACTGAGTAACTGTGTGCTCCTGTGCTCTGATTCTCTGCCTTCTATTATCCCCAGAGTACTTCATCCATATTATCTACGCCAGAATGGAGTGGGATCGCAGAAGGTTTGTAGGCGCATCGAAACGTCTGAAAGGAAGTTTCTAAGAATTTCCCTAGATTTGATGAACGAAGAGGTGGAGAAAGTTATCGCCCAGCCGACAGAAACGGTCGTTCCCCTTCTCGGGCGTATGAAATTCGTCACCGCCGCTCGCCACCGCGAACCCGAAGCCCTCCTCGACCACGAGCCGACACTTGGGTACCGTCATCAAATAGAGGGTACGGGCGCACACGAAGTCGCACACGAAGTCGGTCACCACCATACCGGCGCCGCTCACGTACTCCTCCGGGAAGAAACTTTGGTCCACCCCCCTACGAAAGACGACGATCCCCACCAAGAAGGTTCTCGCCCAGAAGAGATGAAAGGGTCAGATCACCGCCCCAAAAATGGCGCTCAAAATCGCCCTACGGTGATGGTAGATCACACAACGCATCCCGTGCTCGCAACAGCCCAAGACGGATACGCGATACAACCCCTGGCAGCCAAGTCTCCCGACCCGCGAGACGAGACGGGCCTGCTATCTTAAATATTGACAAACCCACAAGACATCCTTCGCCGAGAGTACAGGCAGAAGCCTTGTTGCCACAGAGTCCAATTCATGCCTCGCATCGAGGCCACCCTCGTGATGCGGCGAAACGAGATCGGACTTTGTCGCCATCAACACGTGTCTCGCCTGCACAAGCCTTGGCCTCACAACCCGCCCTGGTATCTCGACGTTCATCGCCGGATATAGAAAAGCCTGTTGTGGTTTCCCGCAGATCTCGTAGTCGGTCGCCGATTCGCTCTCCGGTACACTTACAACGTTCGTCGCAGCCCTCAGGTCGATCTCCGTACCGGGATCAGATCTACGATACGGAGCCCTCTCACCCACAACAACGGCAAGATCATGGGGACCGAGTATCGTTTGGCAATCATTCGCCTTTTTCGAATTCGGAGAGAGCGCATTTGGAACCTCAGACAAGCGGGACCAAGGTTGGTGGCAACATCCCAACTCAACCGAAAAACCACAGTGCAAGTCCACTTCCACTGCCGCCATCAGGACCTTATCAGGGACCGAGGCCGCCATCTAACCAGCATCGCGGTCCTTCGCATGTCTCTTTACTATCAGCGCCTACTCGTCCTCGACGCGGACCTGGCCCACGTGAAGCTTGGACGGGGTCCCCGCCAGTACGCCGCGGACCTGTTGCACCTTCGCAGGCCCCACCAGCGGGTCCTCGCGCTTCCTTTTCATCCCCTGTACCAGGTGGCAGTTACCGATATCCCACTTCTCGGCAACCCAACACTCCGCCTGTAACCCAACCATTGGCCCAGAGGGGGATCAACCATCTTGCGGGGCTATGCACCATCGTACCGGAAGGTCGGAGTCTTCCGTCGCTTCTAGATCCTGCTGTGGAGAAGCGGTTGGCTCAGCTTGATGCCGACAAAGAAAAACTCCTTGAGCAAATCGTGGAGACGCAGAGGTCTAAGCGAGCGGGACTTCGGGACTGGGATCGACTCGATCGCGAAAGCTCGATCTGCGCTCTTAAGAGCGAGCTAGCTGAAGGCCATCTCCAGCGAATGGCTGATGAGAGTATTGGGGGCGGAAACTTGTTCTAGCGAGGCACGTGTACATCTTTGTCCTACAATGGCAATTGATCTCGGCGTTTTTATCTGGCCATGTGTCTGGTGGCGTCAAAGGTGTTGGGCAGGTCTAGGTAGCGGTTTTTCTCTTCCATGTTGTATCAATATGATGACTTGATGACATTATGTATTGAGGTCCTGTTATATGAACATGTGGGAATTTATTGCGCTTGTAGACATATTAAGTACATAAAAAGGAGTAGACATCTGATAGATGCAATGCCTACATGTATACAGAAGCCAAATCACATATACACATATAAAGTATTTTCCCTGGCTAAAACGCACACATTAGATACTTCGCAAGCGTGTACTTATAGGTATATACGTCTATGGAACTATACTGCTATACGATTTAAGGTATGTCTCTATGTCTGTATGTGTGGATGTCTGGATGTCTTTTCGTATGCACTGTATTTACCGTATTATACATACACGTCATGTATGTAATGCGTATCTATTGTACCTGATCTGCAAGTAATGTAAGTTCCCCTTCTGTTTCTTGCCTTCGTGTCAACAACTCGGCTGTTTTGGTGTAGACTCCTACCAATTCTCAAACTCGCCCCCTTCTCCCTTTCTCTTTCTCCCTCTCCTGGCTTAGGTCACTATTCACACTGTTAATCGAGATACGTTTCCGGCATAATGAATATCTTCAGGTTATTAGGTACGACATAAAACCAATGGAAACCAACGCGATATACTAACACTCAATCGCAGCCGACTTCTCCCATCTGGCGTCGATCTTCATGCTTCTGCAGAAGATGAAGACGTCAAGCGTATGTCCTCCTATCCACGAAGCCTCATATGCTTGCGACTAATGGCGGATCGCAGAGTTGCTCCGGGTTGTCGTTCAAATCGCAGGTGCTATACCTTCTCGTTTTTGTCACTCGTTACCTCGGTAGGTTACGTTGCTGTCGGCTTTATTTTCATCACAATCGCTGACGCGCTTTGTAGATCTTTTCTGGACATTCACCGACTCCCTGTACCTCACCACGTTCAAGCTTCTGTTTATCGGTTCCTCGGCCTACGTCATCTACCTTATGCTCAACGACTACAAACCCACACATGATCCCAACATTGATACTTTCAAAGTTCAATATCTCCTCGGAATTAGTGCGGTGCTTGCCATTCTCTTTCCGCGCGATTATCGCATTTCTGAGGTTGGTTGCATCCTGTCTATGGAGTGGAAAAGAACCAAGACTAATGTCATGTAGATACTTTGGACCTTTTCCATCTGGTTGGAGTCGGTTGCCATATTGCCACAGCTATTCATGCTACAACGAACCGGGGAGGCAGACACCATCACCACCCACTATCTTTTTGCCCTGGGACTCTATAGGGCACTCTACATCCCGAACTGGGTCTTCCGCTATTTCACCGAAGCCTCCTTCCAACGTTCATTCCAGCCTGTGACCATTATCGCCGGAATCATCCAAACGCTGCTTTACTCTGACTTCTTTTACATTTACTACAACAAGTAAGCCCAATTGTCCCCAACAAGCAAAAGACAGACGTGTGGTGCAGGCACTGACACTCGCGCTTTTTTTTCTCCTCCCAGGGTTTTGAAGGGCAAGAAGTTCTCGCTTCCTGTTTAGAATTCTTTCCACTTTTTGAATGAGTTAAGGAATTTATGATATCTTAGGATCTTCTACAGGTTCCGAGATGGAATTTTGAATCTGATCCGCTCGTTCCTTTTATATTTGCCTGGGACACGATCACCTATCTCACAAGCACCAAGTGCCTTGAACCAATGCAACATCCCTCCAAGCCCCGACGCTGGGGTTTGCTATGAATTAATGTTTTCATGTCACCAAATCTGTATGCATATAGGAATGGTCACATGAGGCAATAAACCCGCAAATTGACTACCGAATATCGAATATCCAATGTCGAATATCTCGGACCATGTGCATATCTGATTGTATTCTATGTTCATCAGTGAAGGGAAATCTTTGTCAAAAACTTTTTGTACTTTTAGGTCATTGGTCTGGCCTTTTTAATGTACCCTATGTTATATGCGAGATCCAAGATTCAAGTTCAACTATTCAATTATTCAGAGTATTCTTTTGGTTTGCTGTTTTATCGACTTTCTCCTTTCGCTTCCATTGAGTATTGACATCCCTTGTCTCTTCGTACACTCGAAGTCTTGCAACGGATGGCAATCAACTTCTCGCCCGCTCCGTGTAAGCCACCCATCAGACCTGTGATTGACAAGAAAGCATAAAACGATCTAGGCGCTCCTGGTAAGGTATAGTATACTTTTGGGGAGTACACAGTTTAGTGTACCCTCGATAATATCAAAAAGCAACATCCACACAAGGCCGACCAGAAATGACAATCAGAACTCTCGCTGAGGCGCGGTCCCATGCGTCGAGACATATCCCGTTGTGTAGCTCAATTGGGACGGAGGGATGGATAAATCGGCGGAGAATGGATCCAAAGTGCCGGCAATTGAGTGTGAAAGATTGCCCATGGGACCCTGGAACGACCGAACCCCGTTACCTAGATTCGAGCGACCTTGCACATTTTGATGACTATCCAACCAGCCACTGTGACCGTGTAAATGACCAAAATAGTCTGCTTGCGTCCTGTCAAGGGGAATTTGACCAGCAAACGTCGATTCTCGTCGCGAAATTGGCGGCGACGGGAGTTTGGGGGATCGAGAGACCATCTCCAGCCTGGGGGAGCTTCTTCGCGAATTGGGCGGCGTCAAGCGTGATCCTCCACGGCGCACCTGACAGGTTGGGCAGATCTTCACGAAGCGAGAGATCAGTTCCTTGGGAACCCTAATAAAATAGTCAGTGGCTGTGAACCAGACACGCCATGTACATATACAACGCGACTCGGGTTTGCCCACCATGAATAGATTCGCCGGACCTGAGCAGATGTCTTGTCTCGGCCACCATGCTGGCATTGCTGATGGGCCTTGGTGAGGATCTTGAACAATTTTTCCCGAATTGCAACCGGCTTTCCCTCGTGACAGATCATTTTCCTATGCTTTATATCACAACAAACCACCCCGTCAGCATTATCCATCATATCAGTTGGGAACAAGAGAGACTTACATCCGATCCCACTGCTTGGAGCTTGAACATCTTTTTGACCCAAAATCTGACTTGTTTAGCAAGGCAATTGATTGAATCAAAGAGATCCCATACCGAAATTGAGCCGATTCCACTGCCGTGTCTTTGGGGTCAATCAATACAGTTCTGATGTTACGGGCCCTTTTAGCGTAGATCAACGCTTTATCTTGCTTCTTGATGGACAGGTCCTCAACGTAGCTAGAATAAGGAAATATTAGCCATAACTGCTTTTCGGTTTATCAAGAACCACTCACTTCTGCATCAGTTGATCAAACTCCTTCACATCAGGGAAGCCGCTAAGTGCAGGCACCACAGCCTCTGACAACAATGTAGCCTCGTTGTGAGACTCTTGGTTTTCAATCTCCGTTTCACCAAGCGGGTCGCGGGGCAGATACCTTGGCCCTTGAAGGTAGCGCGATTGGGACATGAACTGCGGCGGATGGTGTAGCCGGGGGTCATCTGGGGTTGTCATCGATGGAATCGAATGTTCCGACGTATATTGCAAATGTTGCAACCCCGGAGACAGACTCGACTGTGGGCCATAGGCTGCCCAAACTGAGACCCGTACGGGTTGAAGGAATGCTGAGGGATATGATATGAAGCAGAACCATGGGTGTTGAAGTCATGGCTTTCTTGCTTGAAGTCATGATTCTCTGGCTGACCGTAGGAGCCAGGCACTGCCATTTGGTGATTCATGAGATACGCATCATTACCTTCGTTGCGCCTTGCAAAACTGCTCATAATGCCTTGCTGAGGGGGAATGCCAATTGATTATCAGTTTCAGGCCGATCTGTTTTCAAAAAGACAGATGAAGAATAAGATAAACAAAGAGATATAGAGAGGGGGAAAAAAAAAAAGGAAAAAAAAAGAAAGAAAAGGGAAATAGCAGTATACAGCGAGTCTCCGGGTGAGGTGATGATAATGAAGAAACGAAGACTGAGGCTAACTCGTTTGCATGTAGAGGAAGAATTGCCACAGTATCCTGGTACACCACAGCCAGTATCACCCCGGAAAAAAAAAAAGAGAAAGAACAGGGAATTGAACTGTGTCTAGAAGATCGCAGAAGGTGAGATATAGAGAGAGAAGGAATAATTCACAGAAAGTTCATCTGGAAACGGGGTAGCAATTCTATTAAAAAGACCCCAATGGACAAACAGTGCAGGACTGACATGGCTGATGCCCAAGATGAAGTGCACGAGACCATGTCGCGCCAGAGGGCAGAGACAACAGAGGGCATCCCTGGAAGACGAACAGCAAATATTCCACAGAGGAAAAAGAAATGATGGAGCCAGGCGAGTCGAAGCTCTGTAAGGTACGGGAGCATAGGTATTACCAAAGCTTTGCAGGGAAGATGGCCATCTAACCCCCCCAAAAAAAGAAAAGAAAAGCAGCAAGAAAGGGCTGGGGTTCGTGGTCAAGATTCTTTCCGACCCGCCGAAGGTATCGAAAAGTGGAAGCAGGCTGATACGACAGCGCACAGAAGCAATGGTGATACGGATTCCTGCCTTTGCCTTTCACCCTGAAGTCACCCATTTGCTTCAAGGAGCCACGTTGAGGATATGGGAGACAGGGCTATTCGAGGCACCCTATCGGAGACAGTGATGACTTGGGGGGAAGCCCCATTCGGCTCTCCTGATTTGACCGAAGTACAGCGGGGGGCGAAATCATCATCTCCCCGAATCTTCCTATACTTAGAGCGGAACAACTCTATGGGATCTTTCCCGACTCGAGGAAAAGGGGAACTCTTTGTCTCTGCACGTTTGCTTCGTCAAACAAAGTCGGCAGGAGATTCGGCAAAAAGGAATTTGTCCATGCAAGTAGCCGTGCAAATTGGTAAGGAACATGGATTGAGAATCCCCTCGAAGTTCTGCATCTTCAAGCTGCTCCCCGTTTGAGAAGAGGAGAGGGGAAAGAAAGGAGAGAGAACGGGGGTCATCAATATGTGTACAAGGGCAATTGATCCCTCGAGATTGGCAGTTTCCTAGGGGAATCCCTGTTATGTCAATGTTGTACTGCCATGCTGTCCCACCTTTTATTTATTTAATTTTTTTTTTTCCCCAGAGATGCAAGTGAAAGGATTTTCGATTTGACGTGGCATTTACCAAGGCCAAGACTTGAACTTTTACGGAAGAAAAAGGAAAAAGGGAAAAAAGGAAAAAAAAAAGAAGTACGGAGAAGTACAGAAGTTACAGAAGACCGGGACGGGATGACAGGATGACATACGTTTGGTTGACAGGTGAGACCAAAAAAAGTTCGGACCAAACATTATCTGGTGTGACGATACTTTTCCGATATTTACATATGTAGATATTACATATTAGATATTTAATCTGTTCTATATGTTCTATATTCTATATATGTTACATGTTATATTATAATATTGATCTTTTATGTAGTGTATTAGTACAGAGTACTCATATAGTTACATTCTTCAAACTCAATCATCACAGGTCTTCACATCGTAAGTTCATAGGTTAGTTGTACACACGGGTACTGGGGAAAAAAAAAGGGGATATGCAGACAGTATGCAGACAGTATGCAGACAGTAAGCAGACGTCAAATCTGTTCTATGCCGATCCCCGGTCAAAGGCCACTAAATCGCGGATGATCCATTTCCAATGATTTTGGTCTTGATCGCCTCGATCGAATACCCATTTGTCAACCTTACGTCTCCACTTGTCTTCCTCAGCCCGCTGGCGTCGAATGAATTCGGGGCCGACATCAAATTCCTCCGTCATAGGTCCTTCGTCAGACGATTCACCGGCACTCGCATCGTCCCCTGCTGGGAATTGCTGGTCCTCAATCGCTCCAGAATTTCGTCCATTCATGGGGATTTTGTCATCCAAGTCGTCCAGACCGGCAAAAACGTCGTCTTCGTCTCCCAGAGATGCCCTGAGCCAACACATCCGATGTGGATCAAAGACCATTCCACCAACGGTCTGGACATTCTGCATCGCGCCAACATTGGTGATGAGAGCCGGTGCCGGTTTGGGTGATTTGGGAGTGGTGTCAAATTCCTGAACCAGGTTTTCGTTTCCTTCCCATCGAAAATTGGTAGGGTTGTAGCGCATACCCCTCACAGCTGGAAAACGGTTAATGAGATTGGGGTTGGAAAAAAAAAAAAATTCATGCAAATAGGGGTCTTGCTTACATTTGGCATCCTGCACTCCAGATCCCATGGGCTTGATCAAGTGTGGCTTGGATGTCGACTTGGCATTCGGCTTACCTTTCCGGCTTCTGATCGTTGCAGACGCCGGGGGAATCCTCGAGATAGGTTGGGACTTCCAGTTTGAGTTGAACGTCGAAAGAGGATTCGGTTCACGGCCTTTGGAGTTAATAGCCATGGAGGCAATGCGTTGTTCCCTGGCATTTCTAGACGCATTTGTATCTCGTGCAAACCTAGGGGTCGGACTGCGCAATTTGGAGGTTGATGGAGACGTGAAAGATTGAGGTGATTCATCAGGGGGTTCAATCCGGCTCTGGCTGAGTCTGGCGCGGACCGACCTTGGAGCCCCTCGACCGGTGGGGGTTTTGACAAACTTGCTCTCTGCCAAGACCGACGTAGATAGGTCATCAAACGACTCTAGCTCTGTTCCATCTCCGAAATTGCGTCTCTTAGTGGGTCGTGTGATTGTACGCTTTGTAGAGGAACCGAGAGACTCCGCACTTGTGTCGCCAAACCCAGCACGGAGCGGCTCATTGCGAGTTGGCCGGGAGAGTCGAGAGACTGTGCCTGCGGACTAAGAAGCCCGCCAGAGCTATCTGAATTGGTGCGACGTGACGAGCGATACCCCTTCACACTGGCATGGTGTGATTGGGATTCTGATACTCCAGCCGGCATAAATGGCACCTGAGGCCTGCGACCCAGCGACCTCGCATCGGTTGTTGGGAGATCCACGGGTGTTTTAGGCCTGGCAGAGGGAAGGCGGGCTGAACGATCCGGTGGTCGTTGTGAAGCGGTCATTGAGGCGGCCGAGCCTAGGCCACGAATGGACGGCAGGGATCGCTTGGTCTTCAAGCGCCTAACTGAAGTGTTACCCTCGCCGGCCTGGGCAATGTCCCGGGAATTGCGAGACCCGAGAAACCGTCGACTAGAGAGTGTAGGAGTCGGCGATGACGGATTAGCGATAGGGCCCGGGAGACTTGAAGTTGACGATTGAGAGGAGTGCCCTAGACGCGATTGTGATGTTCGAAATTTGGAGAGAGGCGCACCACTTTCTGACACAGTCTCAAGGTGGGTTGAATGTGTCCGGTCATGACCAGACAAGCGCGGGATACGAGTTCGTGGAGATCCCGTCGCACTGGTGAACGTGAGCGTCGTTGCAGATCGACGGGTCGGGCTGGATGGCCTTTCTGTTTTGCACTTTATGTTGGGATTCAGAGCGGGTTTTCCAAAGGAGAAAGCCTTCTCATTGTCGATATCAATGCCAGAAAAGAAGTCGTCAGCATCAGAAGGAATATGATCCACCTGACTTTCTTCCGCTTCGACATTCTCGGCTTGGGCAGTTTGTCGCTTTTGGAGAGAAGCACTGAAATCAAGGGGACCTTCGGGAATGACGATACCGTCGAGGCCATCGTCTTCACTTTCCGCAGTGAGACAGCTTGACACGCTGGGGCTGGCGATGGAGATGGAAGAACTGGGCACTGAACGACCATCCCTTGCGGTACCACCAACTCGTACACCGATACTTCCTTCAGACCACTCAAGATCAAAGTCCTCCAAAGTGGGACTGGAAACGTAGAAATTTGCTTTTCGATGGGATAACTCGAGAGGCTCGTGATTAGCGGGAAGTTCAAAATCCTGGTTGAAGTCGTCTTCCGTCTCCTGTTCAATGTTGAAGCCACTGCCGACATTGCCAATGTTCAATTTCTTCGGAGACCGAGGAGTTGGCGCTTTGAGGGTTGGGATATCTCGAGTTCCCAAACTATCATTGTCATCTTGGAATGTGTCAAATGGTCCCAAGTTAGATTGCAAACGTGTCGGGAATTCGTCATCCCAAGATGGGGACGCCGTGGATTTCACTGGACTGGTAGCAGCAGAGCTCAAATTTCGAAAGGGAGTCGGGAAACATAGTTTCCCGAGGAGTTTTGAGCTGTAACAGGGTTTCAGGACCAGGGAGCTCAACATCTTCTGACCAGTCATCAACAAAAGTCTGCTTGGTCTTTCGAGTTGACAAGCGCTTGATCGTGCCCCCAATAAGAGCTGACTTGGGGATATTTGGAGGAATGGGAATGCCCGCAGTCTTGGCGGAAGCAATGGCATCTTCTTTTGCGAATTCATCATTATCATAGAGTGGTACCTGCCAGTCTTCGTCGCCCGCATTAGAATCAATATCTGAGCGAGCAGAGCGTCTGGAGGAGATAGAATCTCGGTGCCCAGAGGGCCGAAATGACGAGTTTGTTATGGACCCAGCGCTGGATGCGGTGCGAAAGTGAATATCCTCACTGAACTGCAAGTCGTCGTCATCATCCCAGCATTCAATCGGCTCGTCGGTACCCGGTCGTAGGTGGATTGGTAAAGATTCCATGATCGGCGAAGCGAATTGATTGAAGGCGTACAGAGAACACAGGGGTCATGGGATTGTTATAGACGTCCGGAAGCGGGTGTGATTAAGTGGCAGACTCAGTGTTTTGAGACACTGGTGAGGGTTCAGGGGGTGCGGACATGAGCGTCATTCCGTGTCGGTTGGTAGGGACGACAGATAGGAGCAAGTGAGAAGCACGGCTTGACTGTTGATCGTAGCGTGACGAGTGATCTCGAATATTGCAAGGCGTGTTGTTGGGGAAATCAGCCTATAATGAAGGCCGGTGCTCTAGAGTCGATTTCGCCGAATGAGACCAAGCGGGTTCACTAGCCGACCTGATAAATGCCAGGTCCTCATCCATAAACATTCACTAGGTAGAGGACACTTAGGATTGCGGAAACTCCTAGACACTTGATTCCCACTGCTAATATTTGGGGGAATTCAAGGAACTTAATTGAGAGAACGAAGAGACAGGGGAAAAAGAAGGCGTGTCGGTTGTGGCTGGATCTCAAATTCCTCGTGGAGGAGAGGAAGAACGTGACAGATCCCCGTATTGGTAAAGTTTCAAGGTAATAATGTAATAATTTTACCTGGGTACTTGGCGGAGAGTGCATATTTCCATGTGTGCAGGAGGTATTTTACATTCATTTCATGTAATTAACAGAACGTGGATGTCTTCAGTATTTACCGTTTGTACTTACAAGGTCATTTTGACTGTCAATTTGATGTTTGAAGCTGTCAAGGTAAAGTTACATGTATATATGTAACTACTTTATGTACATATGTAATCTACAAGATACAGTTTCATATCGACTTTAATAGCTACGTACGTATGTATGGGTACATAATCAAAATTGGATTCCAAGGTTAAGTATGTAACCACTGGCAGTCAGTACATTTCACACCCTTTTAATATGTGGAGTGGTATCTGATACCTTCGACGGTACTTCTCCACTCGAGTTCTGCCTTGGATGACTTTCCTTAAATACACATGTATCCCATTCTAGATATCTCACTTCCTAATAGCTCCTTCTCTGTCCTTCTCTCCTGAGCCTTCATTCCAAATATGCCATCTCCTATTTCAACAGAACCTCGAATCTTGCGATTTCCCAGATCTGACGAGACTGGGGCTTTTGTACTCGTCCATGTCTCGTGTACTGGGCCTGCACCACTCGATCTGAGCCTGACGGCTACTGAGGGGGAATCGCCCTATGTTAGCTTGGGTGCGTCATCACCGAATGAAGTTTGGAAATTATGAGCTCATGTTGCGCAGTGAAACAAACTCGCTTGAAAGACCTTCAAGCAAAGAATTACCAAGGATCCCATGACGAGTGGGTTAAAACAGTCTCTCTCATCCTGGGACAATCTTCAGCTCCTCCCGATGAGCCAGATTGGGCCACTGGTCTCGAAGCTTCGGCCGGTATATCGGGTTCTGATGAAGACAAGGAAATTGTGATCACGATACGGAAACGAGTGCAGACTATCACAGTTAGTATTCTATGCCGGTGGGTTATATGTATATTTCACGACTAACCCTAATATAGCAACGCCTTGGTGCTTTTACCCTCAGGCAGGACGATGAACAAGCTGTCGAGCTTTTTGAATGGACAGGAATCACTGCGGCTAGAGCTCATATGCTAGAGCAACAAGTATCCAGCCTGACTGGCCGTTATCGCCTTGCTGAGGATACCATACATAGGTTGAATGAACAGCTTGAGGAGCTCATGCATGCAAAAACTGAGCACGAGAATCGACTGGTGGCCAATTTTGTGCAGATCTTGAACGAGAAAAAGCTCAAGATACGCAACCAGCAACGTCTTCTGGCATCAGCTACTGTGGATGCCACAAAAGGCAGGTGACACAGACAGAGAAACCTGGATATCTTGACTGACTAGATATCGACAGTCTCCGAGATACAAGCTAGCATTCCCGAAGAGTCACATGGGACTGCCGAGAAATCTCATTCAGCAAAGAGAAGTGCCCGCAAGATGAGCGACACAGATGACTCTGATGGGTTTGAACAAATGGATATTGATCCAATAAAGACTGATCGAGGTGCCACCAATAACCAAGACACTGATGACGAAGAGCGTTCGACTCATCCTTTGGACGACGAACAAAATAATAGCACAACGGACGGCGATTCGTCTCAGGATGAACTTGCCCAGCTGAAGCGAGTCTCCCCAGTGAGGGACACCGCGCCGCCTCAAAGAGAGTTGCCATTTGCTAAAAGGACTGGCGGGCCTATCAAGACTGCTCCGACCCAGCCCAGCGAAGATGCCGAAGAAACCGCGGGAGAGACAGACGATGATGAGCTCTAAATTGGTCACCTGGAGCAACTTAGACAAGGTAATTCAACAGAGCGAGATACAGTTCCATCTTATGTGCACTAAAGGCACCCAATTGACGCAGCAGTTAAGAAGAGTTCCTTTTGACTCCTGATCTTGCAATGCAAATATAGATGGATCCCCCGTTTTGTTCCTCCTCTGCCCTGTTCTAGTCATTGGGACACTTATTTATTCCCAGGAGTCATTTCTCCTGGTATAATTCCACTTCATCTGTACCATAGATCCTCAACAGTATTTTCCATCCAAAAGCTGCTACGTACGAAATTACGAAAGTAGCACAGATTCATCATCTCCGACGCCCATGGACTCGAAATTTTGGGGGTTCAGTCTTTTATGTACAAGGCAACCACTCCCGATTAATCCCAGGCGACACCGGAGAATGGCGAAGAGGTCAACAGGAACCGGAAGGGTGTTCAAGATGATAGGGAAAAACTCAGAGGATGGAAAGGAAACAGTACATCAAGAGGAAAATTTAAGATGTGGTACAATAGAAACGCCTGCAGCCATTAGAGAAACACAGAATGAGGTCAAAATAGACCCCGATCTAACCATACAAAGCCTGAGGAGACATTTCTCCTGCGGCCATGAAGTTGGTCTCAGGGTTTCCAGTGGCCTTAGCAGCGGAGGCGCGGGCCATGGTGGGCGAACTAAATCAGAGTTAGCAATGCAAATAAATTAATGATAAATAAACAGGGTACTCACCTTCTGGAGATAGCGTCAGTGAAGAAGAAGTCTTCGATCACCTTCTTGAAAGGAGCCCCGGTGGCTTGAGATCCCTTGTTCTGGTCCACAAGTTGGACCTTGCTCAATGAGCCAACCGAGGTCGGCTCAACAACGTCATAGCGGCGCATGACAGGGCTGATCTCCTCCATGCGGTCGCGAAGAGCCTCGATATCATCATAAGGAAGAGGAGCACCGAGGAATTCGCTAGTGGCACGGATGATCTTCCAGTCGTCACGAGCTGCACCGGGAAGAGAAGTGGCAGCACGGGTAACTTGCACGCGACCTTCTGTGTTGATGTATGTACCTGACTTCTCGGTGTACGCAGCGCCGGGGAGAACGACATCAGCAAGTTGGGCACCGCGATCACCGTGGTGTCCCTGGTAGACGACAAACGCATCCTTCGGGATCTCGCTTTGGGCAATCTCATCTGCGCCCAAAAGCCACATCATCTTGGGGGTAGTTTGAGCAACCTGGGTAGACGGTGCAGTGAAGCCAACTTCATAGGCACCAGCCCGAGACGCCGCACGCTGGAGGACGTTATAGCCCTGCCACTCCGGGGTAATGAAGTTGTTTGCATTCTTCTCGACGAAGCCACCGACAGCCTCGAAGATTGCCTTAGCATCAGGGTGCTCTGCAGCAGCGCTACCGACAATAATCATTGGCCGTTTGGCTCCGGCAAGCTTCTTGCCAAATTCTCCGGACAAAGCGGATTTCAAGGAAGACACATCAGTGCCCAGATGGTTGAAGTCAAATGTGCTCTCAAACTCCTCGCCGACAAGTCCAATCTCAAGATCAGATCTAATATACTGCTTTCGGATACGGGCGTTCAGAACAGCGGCTTCGTGACGAGGGTTTGTTGCAATCAAAAGGATTGCATCTGCCTCCTCGATTCCATAGATCTTGGAATTGAAAAGATAATTGGAACGGACATCGATACCGTGAGCAATGGGGGCACCACCTCCAGGTTGATCCAGGGCAAGGTTGTCAGAGCCAAGCTTGTTTGCCAGGTCCTTCATGGCAACGAGCGACTCAGCATCAACCAAGTGTCCCGCAACAGCCTTGAACTCATTTGCTTGTGGCTGCAGCTTCTCGTGGGCCGATGAGATCTCCGTTAGAGCCTGTTCCCAAGTGGCAGGGACGAATTTACCCTCCCGACGAATGAGCGGCGTTGTGAGTCGTTGGGTCTTCAACCCATCGCATGCGAACCGCGACTTGTCATTGATCCATTCCTCGTTAATATCGTCATTCAATCGGGGGACAACCCGCATCACTTCCAGGCCTCTGCTATCAATGCGGATGTTAGAGCCAAGAGCGTCAAGGACATCGATCGATTCGGTGTGCTTGAGCTCCCATGGGCGCGCCCGGAAAGCATAGGGCTTCGAAGTTAGTGCACCGACAGGGCAAAGGTCAATGACATTGCCTGAGAGTTCTGAGTTGAGGTTCTGCTCAAGGTAGGTTCCAATCTGCATGTCGTTTCCGCGACCAGCAGTTCCTAGTTCTGGGGCGCCGGCGACATCATTCATGAATCGGACACAACGGGTGCAGTGGATGCATCGATTCATTGAGGTCTTAACCAGTGGGCCAATGTTCTTATCCTCCACGGCACGCTTTCCGCCGGTTTCATGGAATCGACCCCGATCGGCACCGTAACGCATCGACTGGTCTTGGAGATCACACTCTCCTCCTTGGTCGCAGACAGGACAATCGAGGGGATGGTTGGCGAGGAGGAACTCCATGACACCCTCTCTTGCCTTGTGAACCAGTGGTGAGTTCGTCTTCACCACCATGCCGGGTTGCACGGGCCAAGCACAGGAGGCCACCGGCTTTGGGGCACGTTCAACTTCGACGAGGCACATACGGCCTACAGTTTCGGTAAGTACATATGCCTCAATGGTATGGAATGGGGGATTGTGGGTTTCACATACAGTTTCCTGCAACCAAAAGTTTTCTTAAGGGACTGGTGTCAGCAAAAACAATATGTGTGACTCGACCAAAAGCACATACTCATGGTAACAATATCTGGTGCGTGTTAGTACTGCAGGTCAATTGTATTGGTGAGGTCTTGTCATACCTGGGAACCGTTGCGCCTGCCTGCTCACAGGCCTGGATAAGAGCCGAGCCAGCTTTGGGGAGAGAGTGTGAGTGAAGGTTCAATGGGTTACCTCGAGGGATTATTTACCTTCTACCGACACCTTTTTGCCATCTAGAGAAATGAGCCATCAGTTATCGATCAATTTGAATGGAGTAGACCAAGATTGGACTTACCAATGGTGAGTTCCACCTCGGCCGCGCGAGGGGCTGTCGTCGCGAATGCCCGGGGGTGACCTTAGGAACCCGGAGGGACCGGGCGGCCGCACGAAACAGCTGCGGCCGCATCATTGGAAGGAGAACAGATATGTGAGGGTGGGAGATAAGGTGGAGGAGGGCGAGGGGGTGAGATCCTGGTGACAGTTGGGAGTTCAGAGAGCACTTTGCATCGGAATCTGCGGTTCTAAGGTTACATAATGGGAGTGCTGACCATCACATTGCTGACTAACGACAACGGCAAATGGGCTCACGGGGATTGGCTCGATTGACTCGGTTAGGCGGATAAACTTCCGCTCCGGGATCCCTTAAAAGCCACCGTTTCTGCCCCCTTATTTTCCTTTTTCTTTCTTCAATTTAAATTGTTAACGGGCATCATTTATTGTAGGAGGCAGGCCATTTCCCTGTTCCTATTTCCTCTACAGCATGTCCCAAGAGCAGAATTGCACCGTAGCTGGAGCTGTCAAGGGTTCGCCTAATGATGACTTTGTTCCTTACCAACGGTAGCTACATCATTCCATGGTTTTTCTGATATATAGTTTCGTACATTTTATCAATATAATCCTTCTATTCATTCTACCTATACATTCTGAGGATTACCTAAGATATTGCTAGATCACCCGTGGGCATCTATTGAAACTTCGATTGGAAATGATCTAGACTCTGGTGTATCCTATATGCAACCAGAGTACATCTCTATGCCCTGCGCGTCCTAGGCAGTATACACACAACAAGAGGAAAAGATAGTAACGTAAAAGCTCTTCCGAGCAACACCTCGCTACCATGATATCATACACCGAACTAATAAAATACAAATGCTAGGCTGCAGCTTGAGAATCACTAACCTGCCAAGTGGATTCTTGCTTGGTGCCTGGTAACCAAGTACGGGAAACACTGGCCCCTCTTGGTCGAACATGCCCGGGCCGATCGTCTTCCTTCTTGGAGTTGTTTGCCGCAGCATGGAAGTTGTTGGGGGCGCCTTCAAAGGCCCTCCCCGCAGGAAAGCATAACCATTAGAATCCCATGGCTTGTTTGAGTGCCGCACATTCATTGGAAGAATGGACTGTTCGCCACGGAAATGATCCGTGTTTGCCCTTTGGTCAGCTACATCATCATGGCTATTGCGATCATAAAGGTAGAGGCCAACGAAAGTGAGGCCAATACCAAATGCTTGAATCGAGGTGGTCGAGCTCCCAAACCATATAATCGCTACCACGATCACAAACACACGCTTGACCAATGATGCAACCGAATAGGACACAGGAGAAACCATTGACAGCAACACAAAGGCCAGGATATTTTGGGCGAAGTGTGAGAGTCCATTAAACACAAACTCAAGAGAAAGAGCACCGTGATCCAATGAGCCTTGCTTACCCGACAGCGATATCGCACCATCATGGATGAAATCAGATACTAGTGGGTAACCCTCGCTGACAAACCAAATAGGCAGAGTGAGGAAAAACGCCAGCCCGGAGCAATAGCAAAGCAAGTTGAGTTTGTCCAACTTCCGCCGTCCGGGGGTTTGCAGATCTGATTCTGCACGGTCTGCCTCGTTAAACAGCTTCTTCGAGAATATGTTCTGCGAGACAAAGACAAGAGCTGCACCAAATGCGCAAAAGATACCGAAGAAATTGGTAGAAATTCCGGTCGAGCATGCAAGCATCACACCCAGAGTCAGAGGGATCAGCGATAAGTAGGTTGCCCGGGCATATCGAATGCGGAACAGGATCCGGTATGCTAGAACTGTGAAGAGGGGCGAAAGGCCCTTGATGGTGTGGACCAAAGATACGGGGATTTGTTCAGTAGCCATAGAGCTTAGAATGTGACCGGCCAATTGGAATACTGCCAGAGGCAAGGCTGTGGAAATCACGTCGCGGGATGGGTAGCGAATTCCATGTTGAAGGACCGGGATGCTTTGTCGCAACCGAGGTATAATCGTGGAAAGATACACCAACAGCAAGCACCAAAAGGAGACAAACGCAAATTGGATCATCGTCAATGTGATTGGCATCGGAAGAGCATTCAAAATCGATTTTGAAGATGTATTTGTGAGGGCAGAGGTCAGGTACCAGACGACACAGAGAGCCTTGAAACAGTGTTAGCAGCCTCGCTGAAGGAATTTCTTCTATACGTGAATTTCTCAAAGCGCTAATCAACATACAGTGAGTCGGTAAGAGACTGGGGCGCGAAGTGCTTGGGCCAATTCATGAGCATTGGCACTCATACTGCCATTGCGTGTTCTGATTGTCGTGATGGCTTCGCTGATGCTCTTTCGCGGACGATGTTTAGGATTTCGTAATGACCCGTTCCCATACTCTCGCGAGTAAAAGCTTGCTTTTCTCGGTTCCCAGAGCTCGTTCGGGGCATATTTCACCGAGGCGCTTCGGTTTGGCCGAGCTGACCCCGCGACGGCGTCGAGGGTGTCTTCGTAAGGCGGAAATTTGTCTATCGGACTGCTCGTTGATTGAGGAACGGAGGATTTGGTAGGGATTTGCAATTCGGCCTGGCGCATTGAGGCGCGTCGCCCATGACCGGTTACTGTAGTTGTAGCCATCTTCAGAGACGTCAATTCCCCGGACCCCCGAAAAGAACCCACACTTGGTGTCACTTACCCGAAAAGGGCGAGGAAGCAGCTGCGGAGAGGCAATCCGCTCAATGGTTTCCGGCGAGGATATGTGTCCGCTTCACTAATTAACGGAGGGAAAAGGGCGGGTTGGTTCGCCGGTTTGTCGTTGTCGATGACGAATCTCCTTGAGCGAATGAGCGTCGAGTATAGAAACACACCCGCGGACACGCTTTCGGCGAAGCCAAGCGATCGAAACAATATATGAGAATATACCTAGTGGTGCATAGGCATATGTTAGACAAAGGAATGGGGAAATATATGAGAAAGAAGATGTCCCCATAATAACTTGTAACGCGACCAAGGATATGCAATTTGATTTTCCATGTACGGAGTACGCCACTTACATTACGGGATACAAAGTTCATGTTGATGGCTGAGGAAGTCTAGAGTATCCACTATTACAGATGAATGATTATTCCTATTGCATGACTTCTACTGTGTATTATTTTTGATATATGTTCGCCCTCCTGTTTTCTATAATAAGAAAAATGTCCCTTGTTCCGTCTTCGTATGCCATCTTGTCCATTACGCGTCACCTGGGTCACGTGGTGTGAGCCCTGATCTGCATGCAAATGTCTTGGCTTTGAGAGTTCACATTTTGATATACATGTACTTATGCAGGTCCTTGACGACGTAGGACTATATTAATCTGATCTATTTGGCTCAAGATGATATTAGCTACATTATAAGAGACAAAACAATGTTTCCCCTCCTTCTCAGTATGAAAGTATGAAATGAGTATCAGATGCAGAATCCCGTAAATCTCACAAAGCACCTTTTCTATGTATTAATAACATATAACCTTCCAAGGTTGGAAGCTTTTCCATGTATATAACCTTTCGATGACATGTAGATCTTGGATTCTATAGAATCCGAGCTCGGGGGGTATCAACATTTGAACATAAGTGAATATGCACATACATAATGTATGTGCCCGATTCCAGGGCTATACTCCTCAGACATATATGCATTGTATCCATCTATGAATGAAAACCTTGGAATAAACATGACTATGCCTAATCAAGTAGTCCACAAGAACATGACAGGAACATGTGTATAGGGAAGGTTCTCATCTCTTCTCACTCTGCTCCTTCCTTGACTTGTTTCCTTTCCTCCTTTTATCTCTATCTCTCTCCTTCCATCCTATTTCTTCTCACATCCCAATCTCGTCTCTTCTCATCACTTCTTCATCTCCAAAAATTCCCTTATGTTTACCGTGATCTCGCAAGAATCTGCTCAGAATCCTTTTCGTTGCATGTAAGCTCACTTGGTTTCCAACGAGCCTCTTTGTCCTGACCTTCACGCAGCAGCGACTCCATTTGCTCTTTTTTTCGCCTCTCTTCTTTTCTGTTTCTATCTTGTTTCTGCTTCGCTTTTAATCTCTTCCAGTTGACAACATGTCTACCCTAAGCGGACCTTCAACACTTGGTCGAATGGGGAATGGAGGACGTTTTACCTCCAATGATGCCATTGATGTGCGAAATCTTTCTTTTGGACGCCAATCCTCGGTATGCGTCTCGGGAAACAATCTTGAATCGAATTTCTAGCATACTAACCACCTTGGTTGCGGCAGAGCCCTCAGAACTCCATTACTCATTACGGTTCTTCCGATGCGGCTGAAACATCCCGACATGAAAAGTTGCAGGCTTTGTCTGGTGAAGGGACCGAGCACTCGGCGAGCAAGGTATGTGTTTCCTATGGTATCGATTCACATGTGTATGTGCCTGTGATCTCACAATCCCAGAAGCAGAAGCTAGATCATATCAAAGTTGAGCCTTTGAATGGACAAACATCGGATCTTGACAGAATACTGGCAAAGATTTCTCCCAAAACAATCCCCCCTTCACGTTCTGAGACCGACCACTCTTCTGTTTCGTCTCAGATCACTCCCACCACGTCGGTACCATCTTTAACCCCCAATGAGACAACAAATCCTTACCCCCAGGAAGACAGAACGGTAGAGCTGCTTCGCCTTAAGCAGGAACTCCTTGCTGCAAATTCCAAGATTGCCCTGCAGGAGCAAGAGCTTGCTCAAACCCGTGTGATAAAACATACCTTGGATCAAGCCCTTGGTCCGTCATCAGAGGCCGATTTCGGCAGCCGCGAAATTACAGAACAGACCATTAGCCACCTACAGAATGCTTTTAATGCATCGACCTCGGCGTTTACTCAGTTTCAAGATGCATGGGCTGTGCAAGATGATTCGCAATCTGATGTCTCGGATCCTTTGTCTACAGGAGCTTACAACAGACCCCGCGCACTCTGGGCCCAGAATGAGACTGCCACAGACAGAGAATACGGAGAGAGCCTTTCGGGCTCTAGCAGCTCTACAAGCCAGGACCCAAATCGGTTCTGGGGAGTCTCCAATGTGTATCCTTCGTTTGCTGGTCCACCGTCTCTGCAGTCACAAAGACCACACTCGGGGTCCTCGGCTAGTTCATGTGGATTTTACCCACGTCCCATTGGTGAGCAAATGTTGTATCCCCCAGGGCCCATCACCGGGGCTCGTCGTTCCATCACCCAAAACAGTAGGGGCGGATCTCTATTTCCAATTCAGTCTACCCCTTGGGGTGAATTTGCTTCTGGGTCCTCCAGTGAGCAGACCACCAAGTCACCTGCTTCGCCGAAGAGACCCCCCAGCGCTTTTCAGCAGGTCGGGCTTTACTCAGTGCCCCCTTACCCCCCTCGACCGATTGGAAGCCCCCCTCTCACCCACTGCCACTGAGTTTACAGGTACCAACACGAATGAAACCACATGGGCCAACTCGGTAAGCAATAGCTATATGCGTCCTGTTTACATTCATTCTAACTCTTGTCAGATGAACGGAAATTCCATCCAGACATACGTGTCACCACTGGAACCACTCAACTATCGACGCCTGCTCGACAAGAACGTCTCGTGTGATTGGAAGTACATTGTAGACAAGATCATCTGCAATAATGACCAACAAGCTTCAATTTTCTTACAACAAAAGCTCAAGGTCGGCACAACTGAGCAGAAATACGACATCATCGAGTCAATTGTGCGTCAAGCCTACCCACTCATGGTCAATCGCTTTGGAAACTTCCTCATACAACGCTGCTTTGAACATGGAACTCCGGAGCAAGTCGTCGCCATCGCAAATGCGATCAGAGGCAACACGCTAAACCTCAGCATGGATGCATTTGGCTGCCATGTGGTCCAAAAGGCATTTGACTGCGTTTCAGAGGAGCATAAAGCTATGATGGTACAGGAACTTCTCCGCAGAATTCCGGAGACGGTGGTCCATCGATATGCGTGCCACGTTTGGCAGAAACTCTTTGAGCTCCGGTGGAGTGGTGAGCCTCCGCAAGTGATGGCAAGAGTAAATGAGGCATTACGTGGAATGTGGCACGAGGTTGCCCTTGGAGAGACAGGAAGTCTGGTCGTCCAAAACATCTTCGAGAATTGCGTGGAGGAGGAAAAGGTAAGATTCCCTGCCAACATGACCCGCTACCATACGCATCCAACCCCTTTTCTCGCTGCCCTGCTTTTCTGTTGGTTCTTTATATTGCTTATACAAATACTGACCATCTTTGAAGCGACCAGCAATCGAGGAAGTACTGGCGAAGATCGATGTACTTGCTCATGGTCAATTTCGGGAACTGGTGCATCCAACACATCTGCGAGCACGGTGCTCCCCACGACAAGAGCCGCGCTGTTGAGCATGTTCTTCGCTGGGCTGTGGATTACAGCATGGATCAGTTCGCATCTAAGATTGTGGAAAAATGTCTCAAGATTGGCAGCACCGAGTTTATGGATCATTATCTCTCTCGTGTCTGCACTGGCCGGTCTGACCGGCCTCGCATGCCATTGATCGATAGTAAGTTGCCCAGGCTTTGACACCATGAGAAGATATTAATTCGTTCTTTAGTAGCCGGTGACCAGTACGGGAACTATCTCATCCAATGGATTTTGATGAACGCCGCGCCTCATCAACGAGAGCTGGTGGCCAGTCACATTAGGTATTGCTCCCCAACAGTCCATTATCTACTTGGTGTGGTCTGAAGTCTAACCTGATTCGACTAGGAAACATATGGTCTCTCTTCGTGGCTCCAAATTTGGCTCTCGTGTGGCTATGCTTTGCTGCAACCCGTCTCACGCTACACGCCCTGGTCCTGGGGCTGGAATGCAAATCGGCCGTTTCAACAGCTTCAACGAAGACAAATTCACCACCACGGGCCCGTCCAGTGGTCGTTTCGGTCGTGGACATCAATGGGGACCCCATTATGCACCACTTCGTTGAGCCTGTGTCACTGTGTCTTGATTTGATACTTCATATTCACTTTTATCGCCATGCAAAGGAAAAAAAAAAGGATAAAAAGAGGAAAAAGAAAACCGACAATCAACAACTAGGAAAAAGCATCTTTTGAGCATTTCATTCCCTCTGCTTCCAAGCAGACAGTCTGTCTTTGCCAGTTTGCCTGACCGTGTCTTATCAATATCTGTTGACCCAATCATTTCTGTGTTTCAATATTGCGAGTTACCACTGCTTGCCGATTTATTCATTTGGCTTGCTTTCCCCAGTGGCTATCATTTTTATTCAATCTCATAGATTGAAGCTTGGGGCGTGTCACAATAATTTTCTTTAAACCCACATGTTATTATTCAGATTCTATTCCAATCAAATATATAATCCATCATAAACCTCATGTGGATAGAACAGAACTTCAGGGAGCAGAACCTGCAGTCTCATCGGATGCAGCCACCACTTCATCCTTCTCCCAGGGTTTCCGTCGCCGTGGTTTCTCACTGGAAATATCGTGGCCACTAAGCACTGTGTCTGGGATGTCTTGGATCCCAGGTATTGGCTGTCCCGTAGTGATGAGTTCCACAATGTGCGCGAACGACGAAGGGTAGACAGGCTCAGAATGCGTTGGTCTCTCAGTCCCAGATGTGCTTGGGTCCAATGCTTCAGAGATTTGCAAGTCTGTATTGCCTAGCCCGTGGGGCTCCGTTGTCCGTGATGCTAACCATGATTTGAAGGCAGCAAAGTCAATAGCAGGAGTGAGCTTTTCTTTTCTGTGCTCGGATTAGTACCCGACGTATTGTGTGAAGTGTATTCCCAGCATACCGGGAGAAAAAGAAACACTTTGCTTGCAGGACGAGGTCGTCATCCCGGTTCATCTCCACCTCGGTGGCGGGGGTGTCGGGATGGCCAAGTATTATTGAGAGGCCATTTGCAAACTCGGGATCCGATACGAAGGAGTAAGATTGTAGCCTTTCGAAGACCTGAGCTTCTGAGGGCTGCGCCATTATTTGATGAAGAATACACAAAAGGTTCGGGATGCGGAGGATGCGGAGGATGCGTGGGGCAACCTAAGCTAACTAGCCGAGGCTCGTCTGCTCTGGTGCGTTCTCCAAGTTCTCCAATTGTCTACTCTGCACCTTTTGGCGCTTTGGGGACTTTGTCTACTCATCTCGAAAATCGGGAAAGTTGCACGGCACTTGCGAGAAAATTCGTATTTTGTATATACAGACGCCTACCCCTCCCACGCTACCTTTTGGCCTGTGAATAGAAAAATCCAGGGATATCTTGCGCCGCCAAACAATGCAATATTGAGATAATTCCACGCCCTAGACCGTGGTATCCATTCCACCTGACGTTTGGCTGTCTTCCCCAGAGTGCAGGGGGGGTACTTCTACTTTGACAGCCGGGACAGTTGTGCACGACCTCGTGGGCAAAGAGATCGCAGTCGATACAGAAGTGGTTATGACACGCGGTACACTCGTAGCGACTGCTCACACTCATCCCCTTGGTCTGGTTCTCTGCCGTTTGCCAGTGATCTTCCAGAGGCACGGATGGAAAAGAAAGACCACAGGCAAAGCAAGCGGAGCTTCGCGAGGCTCGACGCCACGGCACCTCGACCCAGTTGATCAAGGGAAATAGATGATGATACGATCGTGCCAGATGAGTCGAAAGGATCAATGTGAGCCCACAAGATGGGCATTCAGCAGGAAGACTACACACTTTGCTGTTGCATCGTGAGCAAAGATAGCCTCCTCGTGAGGGCTTTGAATGGCATGCGCAGAGCGAGGGACTGGGCTCCACTGTACGAGAAGGGAACCCCATCATCAGCAACGAGCTTGCAGATTCTTTCTGTGAGTAGGCCGCTGGGGGTGTAGTCACGTCCATCATCAGCTCCCGAAAGTGCTGCTCGTTCAATGCTACTCCATATGCTGTTTCATCACCACCGTTGGTTTTTGTACACAGTTCCCGGCAAATTGCAACCTGGGCTCCGAGACCCACGATACCAACCCGAATTTTGTCGCTAATCAGCGTGTCTATCGTTCGATGGATGTCCCCAGGATCAGAGGAAAGAAGGGAACCATATATAAACAGCACTTCTCGAGTGCCATGGCTTGGTGTATGGCTAAATTAACTGGTTAGTTTCGTTACTTATAGCGGGTGTAAAGAAGACATACAAAAGAGCACCTCGTGCCATCTCCAACCCATTCTGAAGACTAGGCAAACCTTTCGGATCTTGTGTTTTGAGGGTTTGGATGGCTGTGAGGTGTTCTGTTGGATTGCCACTCATGTCACTGACTCGGAGCGCGAGACCGTCTCTCAGGCCGAGGACACCAAGCTGGGAGATGGGATTTTGTTCAAAAAATTCCCTCACGAATTCCTGGGCATATCGGAGAGTCAACAAGTATCTCGTGGGTCGCAAGTCCTTCTCGGACATGGATTGTGAAAGATCCAGAATTAAGATGAGATGTCGAATGATACCGCGCTGTAGTGGTGTCGTATCTTTCAAGAGCCTGAACGAATGATACAATTTAGCAAGAATGTATAGACACTGTAAGGGAAAGAAACTGACCGTTTCCGTTTTCCGGCCTCCAGCAGACCTTCGACGGTCGAGTTTATGGTACCATCTGCACCCTCCACTAGTGTCTCCCAGGTTCTGGATAGCTCCCATTCTGCGCCCCCGCGCTGCTTTCTTCTGGCTCGCGGATTATCGCCCCGAGTCACCTGCAAATCATCTTCATCTTCCGTTACCTCCCCCACATATTCTTCGTCGGAGTCGGCCATGTCCTTAGATAAGAGTGGAGAGAGAAAGAGAGAGAGAGAGAGAGAGGATCCATGCGGAAGACCGAAAATGGGTCCAAGCTTCCGACGGAGCTCCGTTGGAGAATATCCTCCCTATCTCCTTTTTCACCGAGTCACAAGTCTCGATCTCTTCCAAACTAAGCTCTTTTTTTTTTGGAAATAGCTCCGACGATAGCCGTAGACGGTTAAGCTAGAAAAATCCCCCCCTCCGATGTGGGGAAGAAGATCCATTCGTGCTGGCGTAGCAGTTCAAGTCGTCCGTCCAGTCACTGTCCGCCCTACCCCTCCTCTTCTTTCTCGCACACTGCATAAACTTTCTCTTCCGCATTCTCCTCGACTGCGACCTCGACTGCCTACGCCCGCCGCTACATTAGATCTGAGCTTCCCTCCCATTAGGCATTGTTCCGCCGAAGTCCGCATGATGGCGTCTCAAGAGCGAGAGACACTTCCTGACGTGTGAGTGATGCCCCGCTTGGGTTATTCTGGTTTCTCTTCTCTTTTTGCTTCCTTTTTGCTTCCCAAAATTGAGCCTACATTTTTTTTTCTGGTTTGCAGCGTTGGAAACTGACATGACAATAGGGCTAAGCCTGTCAACTACCATGTTTCTCTTTTCGACTTGCAGTTCGGTGGTTCATGGGAATACAAGGGCGCGTTGAAGATCGATCTCAAAGTCACCCGTGCTACCAGCGAGATTGTGCTGAACTCGAAGGAGATCGAAGTACAAAGTGCTGAGGTATTGGGGAAAGATGGTAAGTGTGGGAGCATATCATCAGTGTGATATGGAAAAGAAGACTAAGACCGGTCTTCTTTTCATAGGGAGCCAGTTGGCCAAAGCATCCGGAATCACCTACGACAAGCAATCGGAGCGAGTTTGCCTCGCTTTCTCGCAAGAGATTGCGCCGGCAGACGTTGTGCTCTCCATCAACTTTACCGGCACCATGAACAATGCCATGGCCGGCTTCTACCGCTCGAAGTATAAGCCCGTCGGAGAGCCCTCTGCCGACACCCCCAAGGAGGATGACTTTTACTACATGCTAAGCACTCAATTTGAGTCCTGCGATGCACGAAGGGCTTTCCCTTGTTTCGATGAGCCGAACTTGAAATCCACTTTCGATTTCGAGATTGAAGTCCCCAAGGGACAGACTGCACTGAGCAACATGCCCGTTCAATCCGAAAGAGACGGACACAAGCCCGGTCTGAAGTTTGTCACGTTCGAGAAGACACCGGTGATGAGCACCTATCTTCTGGCCTGGGCAGTTGGTGACTTCGAATACGTCGAGGCTATGACCGAGCGCAAATACCAGGGCAAGAGTATTCCCGTCCGAGTATACACCACGCGTGGCCTTCAAGACCAGGCTCGCTTTGCACTAGAATGTGCTCACCGCACGGTTGACTATTTCTCGGAAGTTTTCGAAATTGAATACCCTCTCCCCAAGGCTGATCTCCTCGCTGTTCACGAGTTTGTGAGTAACCATTTATTCCCTACTAATTCCAAGCTTTTCATTTGAGCTAATCGCGGGTCTCTAGGCCATGGGTGCCATGGAGAACTGGGGTCTTGTGACCTATCGAACGACCGCTGTTCTGTTCGACGAAGGAAAGTCGGACAACCGCTATAAGAACCGCATTGCTTATGTTGTAGCTCACGGTCAGTCCCCACGTCGATCTTTAGGTATCTAGGTTTCGAGATGGCTTTGATATCTGACTCACTTTGTAGAGCTGGCTCACCAGTGGTTTGGCAACCTTGTTACCATGGACTGGTGGAATGAGTTGTGGCTGAATGAGGGATTCGCAACCTGGGTCGGTTGGCTTGCCGTTGATCATTTCTATCCTGGTGAGCTTTGTTCGCTTCTGGCCGATGAGTCTGTGGCGCAGTATCTAATGTGCAAGCAGAATGGAACGTCTGGTCTCAGTTTGTCGTACGGAATGCCCGAGGTAATACCCATCCTGATAAGACCAATATTAACGTTCTCCCAGGCTGAAGGTGTGCAACAAGCATTTCACCTCGACTCGCTCCGCGCTTCCCACCCTATCGAAGTTCCCGTTCGGAACGCGCTCGAAGTCGACCAGATTTTCGACCATATCAGCTACCTGAAGGGAAGCTCTGTCATTCGCATGCTGAGTGTCCACCTAGGCAGAGAGACTTTCTTGCGTGGAGTTGCGGATTATCTTAAATCTCATGCATATGGTAGGGCGTCAAGGAAGAAGATTTTGAGGAACGTATGCTGAGTAATTATAGGAAATGCAACCACAAATGACCTGTGGTCCGCCTTGAGCAAAGCTTCCGGACAGGACGTGCATTCTTTCATGGTAAGTAAATACTCACCCCTTGGCTGTTTCTTTAACTCTCTATTTGGTCAGCTCGATATCTTACTGACCTGCTCTAGGACCCCTGGATTCGCAAGATCGGTTTCCCGGTCGTCACCGTGGCAGAGGAGCCCGGTCAGATCACCGTTAGTCAGAGTCGATTCTTGTCTACCGGGGATGTGAAGCCAGAGGAGGATGAGACGAAATGGTGGATCCCTCTCGGCATCAAATCCGGAGCGAAACTGGCTACTGTTGACACCCGTGCTCTAACCTCGAAATCCGACACCGTTGGGGGGGTTGGAGAGGACACTTTCTACAAAATCAACAAGGACCTGTCTGGGTTCTATCGAACCAACTATCCTCCCGGGCATCTGGCAAAGCTGGGCCAATCGCTTGATCTTCTAAGCACCGAGGACAAGATCGGTTTGCTGGGTGATGCAGCTGCCCTTGCAGTCTCTGGCGAGGGCACTACGCCCGCCTTGTTGACTCTTCTGGAAGGATTCAAGGGGGAACAAAATTATCTGTGAGCAACATCTCTTTATGGTATTTTGCTGTCATTTCTAACGTCCCACCCTGCAGTGTTTGGTCCCAAGTCTCTGCGTCTTTGGCGAACATCCGCTCGGTTTTCTCACAAAACGAGAAAGTGGCCGAAGGATTGAAGCAGTTCACTCTTAAACTGGCTTCCCCGGCCGCAGAACGGACTGGTTGGGAGTTCAAGCCCGGTGAGGACTATCTCATTGTACAGCTTCGGAAGCTGCTCATTGGAATGGTCTGTAATGCAGGTCATGAAGGGTGAGCTCTTTTCCCTGGGTCCGAATGCTGTTGAACACTCTCTAACACAATCTCCATATTTTATAGATTTGTCTCAGAGGCCAAGCGCCGCTTTGATCTCTGGACGACC